AACAAAATTCAACATCTTCAGAATAAAAATTCATAACAGGTTAAGAATTTAAAACCATGTCCTTTGTATGTTATCATTGGGTACATTTTTCTTCAAAGTTCTGTAAAACTTACTGGTGAAGCTCTCTGAGCTAGGATTTTTGTTAATAATTAATGTAGTTAATTATAGACAGGGTTGCACTATCATGAGCCACCTGCCTCAGCCTTCTAACTAAGCACAGGCAGGCAGCACCATGCGAGCTCTTCTGTGATAGTCATGTTATGTTTCTCAGGTCAGCCTTACCCCTTCTTTCCAAAATAGAACAGGAGATCCTAAGTCAAACGGCTAACAATTAGACATCTAAGAACATAACTGATAGATATAATGTAGAGTGTATATTGGTTCTGTTCTTTCTTAAATGCATCCCTTACATAATTTTTAATAAATAAAATGCTTTTCCAAATTCATGTATAGTTTCCTAATTCTTGAGAAACACTAAAGATTTTTATCTTGTGTCCAGTTACCTTACCAAGATGTCCTATTTTGGGCTACTACAAATATTTTTTATTAATATTCCTTTTTTTAGCATTTTTTATCCCAGTGTTTATACTCACTTTAATATCTTGTCTCCCAATAATTACTAAAACTCTCAAAATTATGTAACCATGGTTTCTGTAATACATTAATATTTCTTATTCCCTCCCTTCTGGAAACTCTGGATTTAATTCATTCTATTTTTTAGTTCCACAAGGTATAAGTTTGGGTTGTTTAAGTTCTTTCTTTTTGAATATTAAGCATTTATTGTTATAAACTTCCCTCATTAAACTACCTTTGCTCCATTTAAAATATTTTAGGATGTTAGTTTTCATTTCTGTTTGTCTTAAAAAGCTTTTTGAATTGCATTTTAATTTCCTTTTTGACCCAATAGTTGTTCAAGAGTGTGTTATTTAGTTTCAACACATTTTCTGGTTTTCTTGCTATTATTGATTTTTATATACATTCTGTTGTGGCTAAAAAAGATATTTGAAATGGTTTCAATAATCTTAAATTTGCTGAGACTTGTTTTGTGAGCTAACATATGACTTGTCTTGGAGAAAATTCCACATATGCTTGAGAAGAATGTGAAGTTTTCTGTTGTCAGTTAAAAGGCTTTGTGTATATGTGCTAAGTCTATTTGGCATACAGAAGTGAAATCAGGTTTAATTACAAGTGATATATGATTACATACATAGAAAACCCTAAAGCAGGGGTCCTCAACCCCTGGACCACACAGTGGGGGTGAGCAGTGGGAGAGCAAACTAGGCTTTGTCTGTTTCCAGTTACTCCCTATCACCCACATTGCCACCTGGGCTCTGCCTCCAGGCAGATTATCAGGTGTATTGGATTCTCATTGTAGTGTGAAACTACTGTTGTGTGATTGTTTCATCATACACTACGATGTATAGTGGTAGAAATGGGGTGCATGATGGCTATGTTGTACGTGGGTCATCCCTGGACCAATATGCCCATCCCTGTCATGGAGGGATTGCCTTCAGTGAGGCTCTCTCTGGTACTGGGAAGGTTGGGAACCAAAACTCAACAACAACGACGACAACAACAGAACAAAAAACAAACAAACAAAACTTTGCAGAAATAATACATTCAGTAAAGTTGCAAGATACAGGGCCCCATGGCTTGGGGATTAAAGGAGTCAGCTTACATAGCCTACTATGTGGTTCAAATCTTAACCCCAGCAATTTGAAAAACATGTTAGGCATGTGCATGTGCTTGCCCCAAATACTGACAGGATGGAGAATTAGAGAAGGGAATGCAGTGTGAGCATGCCCCATTTGGAGATGTGTGTGCTTTCTCTCTCTCCATCTCTTGCTGTTTCCCTGTCTCTATATCTAGAAAGGACACACACACACACACACACACACACACACCCCTTTGCCAATTAAAAAAACAGTTACAATGTACAAAATGAATATACAAAAGTCTACTGTGTTTCTATAAACAAAATATCCAAAAAAGAATTTAAGAAACAATCCCATTCACAAAGCCAACAAAAGAATGAAATACTTAGGAATAAGCTTATTAAAGATGTGAAATACCTGTACACTGAAAATTACAGAACATTGATAAAGGAATTGAAATTGATGCAGTTGAATGGAAAAACATATTATGTTTATGAACTAGAAAAATACAGTCAAATGTGTAGAAGCCTAAAATGATCTATGAATTCAATGCAATCCCTACTGAATTATGAATAACACCATTTATTCATTTATTTATTTATTTTGCCAGAGAGAGAGAGAGAAAGTGAGAAAGCATCTCCCCGGGGGATGATCATACCATAATCCCTTATTAATTATTCCCAATTCGGTGACTTTAGACTCAAACACACACATGTACACATATACCCTTTAGGCATGTTTTTCAAGCCTCTGGGTCTGGGACTCAAACCATAGTTGGCCTTGTGGTATTCAGCCACTTTAATCACAGTGCCACCACCTGGCCCCTCAGTGATATTCTTTTCATAAATAGAAAAAATAATTCTAAAATTCATGTACCACAAAGAGCCTTCAATAGCTAAGGCACTCTTGAGCAAGAAGAATAAAGTTAGAGGATTAACATCCCTCATTTCAAAATATAATAGTTGATAAAATAGTCTGATACTAGCATAAAATCATACACAAAAAGCAACAGAATAGAACACAGAACCCAGAAATAAATATATGCATTTATAGTAACTGGTTTTTGAAAAATATGTCAAGAAAAACAATAGGAGATAATGGTTTCTTCAATAAGTGTTTTTGGATATACTACATATCCATACACTGAAGAATTAAATTGGGACCAGCAGTTAGCGTAATGGCTATGTCGCTGGACTCCCACATAGTCGACCGTGGTTCACGTCCCAGACCCGGTGGCTTAAACTCATGCTGGGCACGTGTGCGTGCATGCCCAAGATCCTGAGAGGAGAATGGAGGAGAAGGGATTGCAGCGTGGCCATCTCCCCTGGGGGGTGATTTCTTGCTTTCTGTCTCTCTGTCTCTCTCTGTCTGTCTGGTGAGCGCATGCGCACTATAGCAAAAACCTCTCCAAAAAAAAAAAAAAAGGAATTAAATTATACTCTTATCCAAAAAAGAAAAATAAATGGAGAAAAGTCTTAAATGTAAGACCTTACATCATGAAGCAGCTAAACGAAAACAAAGAAAAAAAGCTTATCTACATTGGTCTGGACAATAATTGTTGGATATGACAACAAAACAGAAGCGACATAAGTAAAATTAGATGTGTCATTTTATCAAACTAAAAGTCTTTTTCACAGCAATGGAGATAATCAAAAGAGTGAAAAGCAACTTCCAGAACTCTAGAAAATATTTTCAGAATATATATATATATATATGTATATATATATATGAGATTAAAATCTAAAATATGTAAGTACTGAAACTATTAATTAGCCCACTCAATAAAAGAAACCAAACCAAGATCAAATAAACGAGCAAAAACCAAGCAATAATAACACATAAATCTGCTTAACAAATTAATTAATTAATTAAACGGGGTCTGGTCCCATAGCACAGTGGTAAAGTACTGTACATGGAAAGTTTTTATCCTGCAGTTCTAGTACCTACCCAGGTAGCTTGGAAAACCTAAGAAAAAGTGATGGAGGAAAAGAAATTGCAGTGTGTTCATGCCCAAACTGGAAACAGGAAATGGAATTTTCTCTTTCTCTGGTGAGTGCACGCTCACTGGAAATAAAAAATAATTAAGTGGGAACCAGCAGTTAGCGTAATGGCTATGTCGCTGGATTCCCACGTAGTCGACCACGGTTCGCGTCCTGGAACCAGTGGCTTAAAACTCACGCCGGGCGCGTGTGCGTGCCTGTCCACGATCCTGAGAGGAGAATGGAGGAGAAGGGATTGCGGCGTGACCATCCCCCCTGGGAGGTGATTTCTCGCTTTCTGTCTCTATGTCTCTCTCTGTCTGTCTGGCGAGCGCACGTGCCCTATAGCGAAAATCTCTCAAAAAAAAAAAAATTAAGTAAAAAATATTTTTCAAAAGAACAAAGACCTTAATAGACTGGTTATATTTTTTCAAAGAAGGTATATAAATTTCCAAAGTATATGTAAAAACGCTCAACATCTCTAACCATCAGGAAAATGCAAATCAAAACCACAATGAAATATCACCTCATACCTATTAGAAAGATTATTATCAAAGAGAGCCATACTGATAGCAATTCTAAAAGATTAAAGTCCTACATGTCAAAATCCTAAAAACTGAATCTTGAAAACCACAAATCTCATTTTAAAAAAAAGAAAGCCTATATTTAGGTAAGTAGCATACTAAAAGTGCGGGACAGGATTAGTACAAATTTCCCCCTCTCTTTTATATTGTCAACATTATTTTAAACAATTTGCTACATTACCCACTTCATCTCATCATTTCCCGTACTGGATGTATAAATTCTATAAAGACTTGGAGAGCATTGCTGAGCAGCAGGACAATACTCCACTACAGATGACCTGCCCTCAATATATTCCGTTTTAAATTGTCAACCACACCTCAGTAAAGTCAGATTAGGAGAGGACGTGGCTAAAAAAGCAGAAAACAATAAGTGTGAGCATAAACACCTTAAAAATGACCTTTCAGTTTTGGTTGTCAGTATTAGTGCTAATGCATTAAAAATAACAAAAAGATAAGAAAATGAAAAATAGCTCATTCTTCATTTCTGAAGTGTGGTCTCTTCTATAAAAGTGTCCTTGACTGTCCTAGATAGACTTTGTATCTTTGCTGTATTTCTTCTGACTTTCATACATGTCTATCTTATTGTACTTATCATATTTTGCTGTGCTTATAGCTATGGCTGTCTCCCTGCTATACTCTAACAGCCCCGAGTAAAATTCAGGCTGTTGTCTGTATGTTCAATACTTAGCACCATACCTAGTATAAAACAAAAACTCAATAAATTTTAGCTGAAAGAATGAATAGATGGTATGATGTACTCAATAATTGTTGCTAATGCTTACCTGATTCACAGAGGAAGCTTGATCTCTTGTTTCGTCTGTTCCAATCGGCATTTGTCTCCTGCATAATTCATAGTAACAAAACAAACAGATGCCCAAAGATTTTTTTTTTAGACTTTGAAAATCAAATATTATTTCTATGTGTAAAATAAACTAAGATTTTGAAAACTTAAATGCTAATTTATAAGAAACTTACATGTTTTATTATGTTTATATTACATCAATTATTTACAGAACTCAAAAGTTTGTAGTTGTGTCTTAGGGTGTTCACAAGACCACTCACACATCTGGTGATCTTTGAAGAATTTATTACTTGGCATATAGCAGTACTCAACTCTAAGACTCATTATAATACAAGGACACGCACTAGGGCAAGTAAAGGGAAAAGATACAGGCTGAGTTTGGAGAAATCCATGCAGTCTTCCCCTTGTTCTCTTTGATAATAGGAGCTACTTGAGTTTGCTCTTTTCTCCAACAATAAAAAATTCAGCAATACATGCACATTTCTGCTCAAAAAAGTCCATTAGAAGAAACCCATCACTCAAAAGTTTTTTTTTTTTTGAAGCCTGTTTAGGTAGGCACCCTCTGCCTTAGCATATCCTCAAATTCTAGACTCTCAGAAGAAAACCAAGTGTTAAATGAGAATCACATCTTCTCAGTAAGGGGGAGCTTCATAACTGGGTAGAAAGCTTTCCCAGTCAGCTTCTCAGACATCAACCAAAGGCTGACAGATTTTGTAAGAAAACCCTTGTAAAGATAGCCATCTCAGGGCCATCAGGTGATTTGGTGGTTAAGGCACCCACACGACTTGCCGTGGTTCGAGTCCTGGACCTGGCAGCTTGAAAATCTCACCGGGCATGTGTGCATGCATGAGTACCCAAAATCCCAGGAGGAGAATGGAAAAGTAGGGATTGAGCCATGGCCATCTTCCCTTGGTGGTGATTTCTCACTTTCTCTTTCACTCTCTCTCTCTGTCTCTTTATCTCTCAGATAGATAGATAAATAAATAATAAATAAATAAAAGTAGCCATCTCAAACCTGCAATGTCACTTCTTTTCTGCACAATACTATTCATCGGCACACTAAAACTGATCACCTGTGAAATGCACTGATTAGCAATAGACTGATTAGTCTACTCAAGGGGAAAAGAGTAGCTGTATATTTTTAATGAAGCTAGCAATAGGAATAACGTGTAAGTAGAAATAAAAAGCAGAGAGCAGGCTCTCAATACATGGACATGGTTCTCTACACTTGTCCAAGAATTTACCCTGCTCTAGCAAGCAGGTCCCGTGCAATAGATTTCTTTTCTTTCCATGTTTGAGAGCTGAAAGCAAGTCACCAGAAATAAACCTTCTGACAGAGGTAGGCTGTGTATAACATGTTGGAAAACAGAATGTAAATATTTACAATAAAATGCTCAATCTATTTCTCGTAATAAATCAGATATTTGTGGACATTTGGTACTCATGTGGAATTAATATAATGGCAAAGTCAGAAATGTACATATTACCAGAAACAGTTAGTAAGAACAATTAGACAAAGCTTTCAATTTTTTCCTTTTTAAGTAAAGGACTTAAAATATGTTCAGTAATATGACTACTTGAAATGTTAAAGTCGTTATGGAATTTTCTTTCTAGCATAGCTCATTTTCTTAACGTAGTTAATGGGATACTGACATAAGCAGAACAATGAGCTATGCCCAATACACACTTGTTGAATGTTCATTTATAATAAAGCCACATACAGACGGCATATTTTGGTAAACATACTACATTTTAGCAATTATATATAACAATTATAATTATTATGCACTATAAGACATGAAAAATGATACCTTTTCAATTTAACTTAATCATGGAGCAGTTATTTGGAAATAATTTCCAGTGTACTCCTATTTCAAACCAAGGTTAATTCCTTAACAAATTTGAACCAGTTAATGCTATGCTAGCAATAGAACCAAAAACATGGCTTTGATTCCTATGATGACAAGTTGGCAGCTAACAGAGGAAAATCTATTTCATGGTCATAGGCTGTACTCTGAATCTTTGTTGGTAACTTTCCAACAGCAGATAACTGATCATTGGTCCCAAACTACTGAATCAGCACCAATAAAAGTCAAAGAACCCTAACTGGGTCCTTCCACTGAAGGCTGCAGGTATGTACTGTGAACTGCTGTCTTGTGATTTGCACTTGGGTAGACTCTCTTAGGATTGCTAAAATTTCTATTATGGTATAATTAATTTCTGTATGCTTACTTAAAGAATTTCATTTTTGTATCCCAATGAGACTGTAAGATCATATCCCATTTAGTTTGTTTATATTTGAAGTAAAATAAATAATACATACCTCTTCTTTTGGACGATTAAGATTCAAAAGTGATACTGAGGGCCTGGGAAAATTTTTTGTGGGTGAGGTTTGAGCTGAAACAATTGATTCTCGAGCTGACATGTTCGTATCTCCTAGAGAAAGAAGAAATTTATTTGTTTATTTATTTTTCTTTATGAGGAAGAGAGATGTAAAGAGAAGGCAAAGGGGAAAAAGGAGACAAAAGAGATAGGTATTTTTGTCAGTCTTACTATGTTAGCCTTCTAATTACCTAGGATTACTAACTCACAGCACTACACCCAGAGTTTTCAAGCTGGCCCAGAAATCAACCCAGATGTCTCCCCATGCAGATGCCAGCAGTGTTACCATGGACGGGACAAAAAAGAAAACTTTAATTAATGAGACAATAATACTGCTAGAAAAAGGTGACTTCTAATTTATAGCATTGCTCCAATATTCTGTCTGCTCAGCTACTGTAATGACTGGGATTACTATATTTAGGGACTCATTTGAATTAAGAAAGAATAAATAACAAGAATAACATGACTTTTTTGATGCTTCCTGCTTACAAGTTTCCAGCTGTTCACTACTGCCTTCAGAGACAAGTCTGAAACTCTGATTCTAGTTTATTTATCTTTACAAATCTTGTTGTATTAGTAGATAATTTTAACAATCTTTGTTGTTAAATTTATTTCATCGTCTGCAACTGAACATAGTCCCTGCCATAATTAACTGTTTGCCTTTTGTTGAAGTAGGCAGTGAGAAATCACTAATGAGTTGAATAGGGAAACAAACAATGGTAAGACTGCTCTCGTAGCAAAATATATGGTGGGCTAAAAAAGAGGAAAAATAACTTAGAAAAATGTTATTGTAATAGTCAAGAACAAAGGAAAAATAGGGGCCAGGAGGTGGTGTGGTAATTAAAGCACTGGACTCTGACATGGCCAACTGTGGTTCAAGTCTGGACCTGGTGGTTTGAAATTAATGCCAGGAATGTGTGTGTTTGCATGCCCCAATCCCAGGAGGATAATGAAGAGAAGGGATTGTGATGTGGCCATCCCCCCACAGAGTGATTTCTCACTTTCCCTCTCACTGTGTCTCTCTAGCAAGCACACACATACTAGGACAAAAACGTGAAAGAAAAAAGCAGTGAAAATGGAAAAGAGTGGCGTGCTGAATAAAAGGAGGTAGATTAGACATAAAATGAAAATGTGAAGATGGCAAAAAAGAGCAAACAAGTCAAAGATCAGTCAGATTTTGTGTCTTGGTGAAAAGAGAGGGATCAAGAGGATGAGGACTTTGGTTTTGTACGGAATTTGAAGTAGTCATTAGCTAGTGGATGGAAATATCTAGTATTTTCTATGTGAGCATGTAAAACATATATGAAATTTTTTCTTAATTTTTTTTTAGTATTTATGTCACAGGGCACAGGCACTCACTGGAGAGAGAAACAGAGAAACAGAGAAACAGAGAGAAGGAAAGTGAGAAATAACTCCCTGGGGGGGAGGATGCAGCCATGCCACAGTCCCTTCTCAATTCTCCTCCTGGGATTTTGGGCATGCACACACATGCCACAGGCATTTTTTTTTTTTTTTAGAAGTTTTTGCCTTAGGGTACATGTGCTGGCGGGGGGGGGGGGGTGACTGAGACAGAGACAATGAGAGGAAAAGTGAGAAATCACCCCCAGTGGGATAGCTAAACAACAATCCTTTCTCCTCTATTCTCTTTCCAGGATCCTTGGTGTGCACACCCAACATGACTTAGAAGCCACTGGGTCTGAGACTCAAACCGTGGTTGGCCATGTGGGAGTCCAACAATGTAACTACTGCCCCCCCTCCCCCCACCCCAGGCATGATTTTAAACCACAAGGTCCAGAACTCAAACCCCGGTTAGTCATGTAGAAATCCAGCACAGCCACTACTCCACCTGCTGGCCCTACATGGAAGTATTTTTAATAGCTTGCAGAAGCCAAATGAGGTCAAATGCTTTAGGTAATGTGTATTTCATTTAAGGGGACATATGAAGCGAGATATAATTATTGTGGAAAAGAAGTAGTAGCTGAGTGTGAGGACATTCCTGGGGACATTCACTGTATTGCAACCTGCTTAACCACAATATGTCAGTATCTTACTCTACCTTTCACTACAAAGTCACAGCAGAGATCTTAGCTATACTACATTTTGTAAATTACAATCTTTGCTGATTCTACCAGGGATAACTCAAATATATAGACTGGCTATAATATCTATATTCACAAATATTGCATCATTTTTACTTTATTTTTCAAAGTATAATTTTTATAACCAGACAAAGTAACTTAACAAACTATATGATGAAACACCGATTGAGGCCTTAATAACAGAACATTTTCTTACCTCTGTCATTAAATGTACTTGAATTTTTAGTTATCACTTCATCTTTCTACATGGCACAAAATAAAAGAGAAAAATATTCATTAGTAATTGTACTTCCCCAAAAGATTTTGCCTTCTATCACTCAAACAAATGAATGTATGGTTTTCCTCCTTTATCCTCTAACTGCTCATGAAACTTGTCTCAAGAAATGGACTGGTCTGAGGTGTCTTTCATGTTGGGTAAATTCTCTTTAAAACTCAAATGATTTATAACAATGAGATGATTTTAAAAATAAAACTAATAATAATAACAATTATTATTACTATCATCTCAGGGACCATACATATTATTGACTTCCTAAGATTCTTTCCAGTGAATCTCATATTTAACTAATTCAAAACTGAGCTCAGGGCCATGGAAACCAGCAGTTAGCGTAATAGCTATGTCGCTGGACTCCCATGTAGTTGACCGCGGTTCGTGTCCCAGACCCGGTGGCTTAAAACTCATGCCGGGCGCGTGTGCGTGCGTGCCCAAGATCCTGAGAGGAAAGTGGAGGAGAAGGGATTGTGGTGTGACCATCCCCCCTGGGGGGGTGATTTCTCGCTTTCTTTCTCTATGTCTCTCTCTGTCTGTCTGGCGAGCGCAGGCGCCCTATAACGAAAATCTCTGAAAAAAAAAAAAACAAAAAACGAACAAACAAACAAACAAAAAACTGAGCTCAGGGCCAGCAAACTGCATGGCAGTTAAGATGGCTAGATCCCACATGACCAACTGTGCAGTTTGATTTCCAGACGTGAAGGCTTGAAAATCACATCAGGTGCATGCATGTGAGTGCCTCAAATCCCTAGAGGAGACTGGAGAAGAAGAGACTGAGGAATGATCATTCCCCCAGAGGGTTTCTCACATCTCCCCTCAGTCTCTCTCCAGTGAGTGCATGTGCAACATAGCAAAAATGACATTAAAAACTCCAAACACCCACCAAATTGAGTTTAATATCTAGCGATGCATGCACTTACTTTTCTCACAGTACCCTATATTTCGTTTAAAGGCACAGTAACCCATTCAATGATTGACTCTAAGAAGTTTAGAATCATTCACTTTGTCTTACAAAAATCCCGTCCAACCCATTCATACCCAATCTAATCCATTCTAATATTTACTAAAAATACTGTTTAGAACAAAATGAAGCTCATCATTCTGTACTCCTTTCATTGTAATAATGCTTTTGGTCTGTTGCTCTACTCGATGATGAGTCTTTTAGGGAAGGAGTGTTATCTTATTCCCTTTGTATCCTATGTGACACTATTTCCCTGTTTTCCTTTCATCTGGCTCAGCACAACACTTGGTAAAAAGTATGTGCTCAATAAATACCAACCTTTATTATTGATAAAGTTGCTAAATAACTTTTTGGATTAGTTTTGGCTAAAATGCATTGTGCTTTTAGCACAAAGCTAGCTCAACATGTTCTCTGAAAAAAACGTAACTAATGACTAGAACCCAGTATCTGTCCCAATCAGTATTGTGTTAGTAAAGATAACAGTGCACAGTAGTAAAAGTTAAGTACATAAATTAACATTCAATATTCAAAACTTTGAAACATAGTTTTATACCTTTTGTTCTATACCATTATTGTCTTGTGCATCTGGCTGGTAAGTAATTGAAGATTTTTTCGTAACATTCTTTGAACTATTCTGAGTCAGCTTAACAGTATTTACTTCATGTCCTGAAAGTAAATGAAAGAGAAATTTAATAGTTATTTAAACAGCTTTATTAAATTATATTTGAAGTACAGTTAATTTTGCTTATTTAAATTACATTATTTAATCAGTTTTGAAAGATGCATATAACTGAAACATCACCACAATATCATATTTTAATTACCCTTTAATGTTTTCTCTTGCAACTTTGTAATCCGTCCAAATCTATTCCTAACTCTCACCAACATTGATCTGTAACTATCACTCAAATTTAGTTTGCGTTTTTCAGAACATTATGTGACTGGAATCATATTCTTTTTTCTTTTTTGGGGGGGAGAGGTTTTTGCTATAGGGCACATGTGTTCGCCAGACAGACAGAGAGAGACAGAGAGATAGAAAGCAAGAAATCATCCCCCAGGGGGGATGGCCACGCTGCAATCCCTTCTCCTCCATTCTCCTCTCGGGATCTTGGGCACACACGCACATGCGCCCGGCATGAGTTTTAAGCCACTGGGCCTGGGATGCGAACAGTGGGCGACTACGTGGGAATCCAACGACATAGCCATTATGCTAACTGCTGGTCCCTGGAATCATACTCTTGATTTGTCTGATTTTTTTTCACTCAACATATTACATATTTCAACAGTTCGAAACTTTTGTTCTTGTAAATATTAGTTGTAAGGATATCTCACAATTTTTTATCCACTCATCTGTTGTTTCGTACTATTTTTATTAAAGTTTATTTATTTCCTTTCATGAGAGAGAGAGAGAGAGAGACATAGAGAGAGGAAAAGAGAGAGAGAACATCGAGAACCATCAGCAGGGCCTCATGCTGCAATTGCAGGCCCCTCTCTCAGCTTTCCAGCCAGCTGTGTTCACCAGCACACGTACGAGCCTAGCAGGTGCAGGTCAACTCAGGAACCACAGCTCTGATATTATAAATGGTGCTCAGCCTTGGAGAGTGCAACTCTACCACTGCTCCATCACGGCTGGGACAATCTACTCATTTGTTGATGAACTTTGTGTGGTTTGAGGCTTGGACATTTTATAAGTAATCTTTATGAACTTTCATGCCCAAGTCTTGTGTATTCACATATTTTTCATTTCCACTGGGAAAATACTAGTAGTGAAATGACTAGGTCAAATGGCAGGTTCATGCTTAAAGAAATACTACACTGGGAACCAGCAGTTAGTGTAATGGCTATGTCTCTAGACTCCCACGTAGTCGACCGCGGTTCATGTCCCGGACCCGGTGGCTTAAAACTCACGCCGGGTGCATGTGTGTGCGTGCCCAAGATCCCGAGAGGAGAATGGAGGAGAAGGGATTGCAGCATGGCCTCCCCCCTGAGGGGTGATTTCTCACGTTCTGTCTCTATGTCTCTCTCTCTCTGTCTGGCGAGCACACGTGCCCTATAGCAAAAACCTCTAAAAAAAAAAAAAAAGAAGTACTACATTGTGTTCCAAACTGGCTGCGACATTTTACAAATTAAGAAATTCAGTTTTTTCACTTATCAGAAGAAAGGAAATAATAAAGATCAACATGATACTTAAAGAAATAGAAGAGTAAGAGAGAAAATAATGAAATCAATAGCTGCCTTTTTGTAAAGTTCAGTAAACGCAATAAGCCAGGTTGATCATAAAAAAGAGAGGACACAAATTAGTACCACAGAGTATATAGATAATTACCAAAAGGAAAATAAGAGAATGCCATTGAAAACATGGCAATAAATTTGAAAACTTACGTGACAGAACAATTTCTCCCAAAACCTCATGCTACCCAATCCCTTTTGCAAGTACATAACAAGAAGAAATCTGTATCTTTTAAAGTAATTGAGGCCCACCAATGGTGGAGTGGTGGGATAAGCAGTAGGGGCGCTGCTGTGTGATGTTCGAGACTATGTGAGAATGTTCCCTTGAGCATCTGAGCACAGCAGAGTTTGCGCCTATGATCCTGAATACCTGCAGGTCACAGGGATGGGGGAAGGAGTGCAATGAGAAAACCCTAATGAAAGTCTCTCTCTTGCTTTCTCTCTTTCTTTTCCTGGAAATAAATAAAATTTGGGGGCCAGCAGATGGCATAAAAATTACACTGGACTCCGACATGACCTACTATTGTTGGAGTCCTGGATCTGATGGCTTGAAAATCATGCCAGGAGTGTGTGTGCATAACCAAGATCCTGGAAAGAGTATGGAGGAGGAGAAGAGACTGTAGCGTGGGCATCCCCCTGGGGGCTTATTTCTCACTTTCCCTCTCTCTGTCTCTGTCTCTCTGGAAAGCGCACATGCCCTAGGGGAAAAACATCTTTAGGAGGAAAAAAAAAAGGAAAATTTCATAGGAGTTAGCAGGTATTTTAAAACCTTTTAACAAAAAAAGCTCTGTATTCCAGTAATTTTACTTCTTAATTGTACCAAATATCTAGAAAGGAAATTACAATTAATTCTACATTAACTGTCCCAAAAAATTGAAGAGTGAATAGTTTCTGTCTTGGACTTTGAGTCCAGGTTCACTGATATAAAATATTATAAAGCATTAAAAGGCAAAAATTGATTAAACCACAAACAAAGATGTAAGAATTATTAACAAAACAAAGTAAAATCAAATCCAACAATATGTTGCAGCGATATTACATCATGAAAAAATGGAGTTTGCCTTAGGAATAAAAAGTTTGTTTAACACTCATAATTCTGTCAAAGTATTTTACCATATTAACTGAAAAAAAATAGAGAAAACACAAAGATTCAGAAAAAAATGATAAAATTCAATATTCATTCATAATAAAACCTCTTAGAGAACCAGGAATAGAAGGGGATGTACTTCTGATAAAGGCTCTCTTCAAATTTCTATAGCAATTGTGTAACAGATGCAATTTTTCACAGCGTTTTTCCTAAATATGCTTAATGATATTTAAAGTTTTATCTTTGGACAAGTGCCACAGATAGACTGGTAGCCTCGTTTGTTTAAAAATAGTATTTTCCATCTACTATCCTTTCCTCAGATATCACTCATTCTTTTACAAGAGAAAGACGTATCTCGGCTGCATTAAACACTACATTTTTTTTTACCGGATCCTTTTGCCTTAGGTATCTGCTTTAGAAACTAAGAATTTGATATTATCATTCACATTTAGTTGATGTGGGGTTGTTGGTATTGTCATAATTGTAATAACTCTGGTGTGTTATCACCTATTTGGACTTTAAACATAGAGCTCAAGAAGCTTACAATTTAGTTAACTCAACCTCAGTGATTCTGAGGGTAGAAGACAGGCTAGGTTAAGACAACCCTATCTCTCCCCAGGATTCTGAGTCTTGATGAAACTAAGCAAACTGTATATTCAGGAAAAAACATTTGAACCTTATTTTCCCTAGACTTTAAGTAATGAGAACAAATGGATTAGACATTTATACTTTAATTTTTCCTTTGGCATTTCATAATGAGAGATTAGTCATACATTTCAATTTTGAACAGTCTAATAATTTATTTATGTTAAATTTGGTATAGGGTGTGTCTGCTCACAGGTAAGACACAGAGAGAGATGGAAAGTAAGAAAGCAACCCCAAAAGGAATAGCCATGCTGTAATCCCTTCTCCATTTTCCTCTCAGCATTTTGAGTACACATAACAGAGGCCTGGCACATCCTCCAAGCCCCCAGGTCTGAGATTTGAACGAAGTTGGCCATGTGGGATCCAGCTGTCTTAACTACCATACCACTGGCGGGCCCAAATGTTCTTATATTTTTGATAATGTATTATTAGTGTGTTTTTATGTCATAATTTGGGCTGATGGTCTAATCTGGTAGACTGTGATGGACAACATAAAGTATACAGAATGAGATAAGGATGAGAAAGTGACATTTTAATAAGGTCCACAGTGGCTTCAGAGTTAGTATACTTCATATCTGACCCATTTTTGAGTTTTCTAAAACTATTTGGAGTATTAGGGGACCAACAGATGGTGTAATGGTTATGTCGCTGGACTCCCACATAGTCGACCGCAGTTGGGTCCTGGGCCCAATGGCTTAAACTCACACCAGGTATGTGAGCTTGCATGGCAAAAATCCTGAGAAGAAAATGGAGAAGGGATTGCAGCATGGCTATCCCCTTTGGGAAGTGATTTCTCACTTTCTGTTTCTCTATCTCTCTCTGTCTTTCTGGAGAGTGCAAATATCCTATATTTAAAAATATTGACAATCTGTTGTGTATACTATATTGTATATTTAATAGACAGTTCGTTGTTTTCTAATATCTAATAAAAACATTAAATTATTTAGTATTCAAATTCTAAAAGAAATAGAGACTGTAGAATGGTTGATACACATTACTCTAAATCAGTCATTTTACAAAAAAAAACCAGAGGATTTATCTGCATTTAAATGAAAAAGGCCATCAATAAACTCAGTCTTTTCTCAATTTAGTATTTAACATTTCTTATCAAAGTGCTCCATTACCATATGCTCCTTTGTATGTTTTTAGGTCATCAACAGCATACACTAACTTCGTATCATCATAAGACTTTGTTTTCTTCTTTGGAGAAGCTTAAAGAAATGAATCAAAACATTTATTTTTAATAATGATGGTAACAGAGTTCCCCAAGATAGACTATTTATCCTTTTATGCCCCAGAGGAAGTGAACCATAGGCTAATCTATATGTCGGACTGTGGAAAGAATAAAGATGAAGGGATGTCAAAAAGGAAGAAAGACACTTATTCTTGAAATATTATCCCTTCAGGTTGAAACATATACCTGGAAGTATAGAATTTTCTTTTGAAAGAAGGAAAAAATCTGCATCTGGCACAATTGAAAATGTCATTTTCTCTGTTGAGAAGCTTATTAGCACACTGGCTGGGATGAAGACCCACTAGCCCATACCGGCTATTACAGGTTTTGGATGTGCCTTATAGCTTGGTATAAACAACTATGTGGGAGTGTGTGTGTGTGTGTGTGTGATTGCAGTTATCAAAAGGAGTGATAGTTATATGTATGTGTTTCCCTTCTTTGTAAAAAATGTAGCTACAGGTTCTTTTTAATTTATGTGGGAGAAGGATTCTAACTGCCTGTGTGTTTGATGGGTTTTATCACAGAGGTAAAAGGTCAGAGTGCTCTGTCTCCCTGCTAACTGATCCCTAAAGCAGATTCTTCTAAGATTCCCTTTTTCTTTCTCTGTCATTCTGGGAGATGTCTATTTCATGGAACATGACAATGTCATTATAGTGCAATAATTTGATTTCATTTGTGAAATAGATATCCTAATTCTTTTGTAACTTTGAAAATATGAATTAAATTTATTTACACCACATTTTTTCTTCAAAAGAGTATTTGAGGTAGCAACTTAAAACACTTTTCCTGTTTTATGAGAAAGAAATAAAAAGACATAGGGTTGTATATATTTACGAAAGTGATTTCTTATGTGAAACAAGATTGAATCACTGCCTCAATGAACTAAATAGATTGGATAAACCAATTTAATGAACATTGGTTTAGTATAATCATTTTGACTGATGCTCTATCAAATACAAAGGTAAGAGTCTACTATTAGGAGTGATTAAGACAGTTGGAAATATGTAATAAGTGTATTGAGAATGTTCCAGACTACTGAAGAGATTCAAAGGATGGGGATTTTCCAATTGGGGCTATCAAGTGAAACTTAAAGAATTGTAGAATTTTGATAGATGAAGATAGTGTTCAGATTATTCTAGGAAGGAAGCAGAGAACCGAAAAAAGTAAACTGTGTTTTAGTAATGTTCAGTTGTCTCTTTTGACTGAACAATGGAATAAATGAAATGCTATGTGTTAGAACTTTTGAGTTCTTTTTAGAAACTATTTTGGGTCGGGAACCAGCAGTTAGCATAATGGCTATGTCGCTGGACTCCCACATAGTCAACTGCGGTTCGCGTCCTGGACCCGGTGGCTTAAAACTCATGCCAGGCGCATGTGCGTGTGTGCCCAAGATCCCGAGAGGAGAATGGAGGAGAAGGGATTGTGGCATGGCCATCCCCCCTGGGGGGTGATTTCTCGCTTTCTATCTCTCTGTCTCTCTCTGTCTGGTGAGCACACGTGCCCTATAGCGAAAAACCTCCCCCCTCAAAAAAAAATTATTTGGGGGGACGAGCAGTTGGCATAATATTTATATTGCTGGACTCCCACGTAGTCGATCGCAGTTCGCATCCTGCACCTGGTGGCTTATACTCACACCTGATGCATGTGCGTGCGTGCTCAAGATCCTGAGAGGAGAATGGAAGAGAAAGGATTGTGGTGTGGCCATCCCCCCCGGGGGGGCGATTTCTCACTTTTTGTCTCTCTCTCTCTTTCTGGCGAGCATACATGGTCTATAGCAAAAACCTCTCCTAAAAAAAAGAAAGAAAGAAATGATTTTGGAATATTATCTTTGTTTTCATATGATAAAGCTCACTGAGAGAGGTTAAGTAATTTGCTCAAGCCAATTACATGACTCCAAAATGGTAAAATAAGACTTGGATTTCAGCTGTCAGACTCCAAAACGTGTGCACATCACCCCCTAGATCATAGCCTCATTCATCAAGGAAATAGTGTGAAACAAACTGTGTGAGTTAGACTGGGAGAGAACTCTCGATGCTGATGAGTGTTTGCCTATGCAGCCTGAGCTTCATTTCATAGATAACAGATTTGGGGGAGCGGGCAGACGAAGAAACCCTCAAAACAAACTTGTAATTAAGCCACAGTAATTATAATGGATTTAAGCACAAAATAAATTTAAGGTGTGTAAAAATAAGAGCCAATAGAAACTAATTGTTAATTTATTGGTGTGGCATAGGGAAACTCCGAGCAAGAGATAGAAGCAATGGGGCACAATTCTGGTAATTCGTGGAAAATCATGTTCTTCCCTAAGAGTTGAAACAAGCGTATCTTTTTGCATTCTGGCCACAAATTTTAACTAGTACCAGGGGGAAAACTCACTAGTTTCACAATGTTATAAAGAAAAAAATGTAAGTAGAGACTGGGCATAGCAAAGCCATGGATCTATGTTCCTCCTTTCAAATTTTCTTCATTTTTTAATAATTTTTCCTTCTTTTTCCTCTCCTCTTACCTTCTCACTTCCTCTTTCTTTCTTTCTTTCTTTCTTTCTTTTTCTTTTCCTTCTCTCTTTCTTTCTTTTTTTTATTCTTTATTTTTCTCTCTTTTTTACATCTCCCTCCCCATACTCCATTCTGTCTGTTTTTATTGATTGGCAATTTAGTAGAATACCATGTTGATATAGAATAATTATATTTAAATGCAAGATTTTATAGTTTTAGTAGTAAAAATAATGCATTTTTTAAGTAGAGGGAAGTTGGTTAGAACTGCAGTACATGCAAGCTGATCTATTGAGCCACTTGATAAGATTATAATATTTCATTATAAATTTTCAAACAGGTTTATGTTTCATCTTGAATTGTAATGGGGAAATACCTCAAACTATCACCTAAAACGGATAACAAGGGGTAAGCACATAGAGTATTACGCAGGGACTTTTCATAGATATGCATATCCTACTTAGTTATATCATCTTTTATTGTTCTCACATTCGCAAAATGTTCCATCTTGTCCTCTGTATTCAAATGTATTTTTTCCCATATCATCTCCTTTAAAGCCAGTTTCTTGCATTTTTTGCAAATGATAAGCCATTTTTTTCTCTAATAAGGCTTGTTTCTAAAATATTAAAAAAAAATATTGGTTGATATCAATTTGCAACTTAGAAACACAAAACAAATAATTAAACATGAGAGTGTATTAAGAATGGGCAGTCATTCCAGTGTTGTAACATGCAAAGTTACATAGTTCAAGAATGGGAAGACAGCTAAGAGATAAATTTCTATTGTTACCAAGCCCAGAGACTATATTAACACTTAAATTCAACTTATCTCACTGCACTACTTCAAGGAACTAGTCTATTGTGACGAGATAGTGTCACTTATCCGTAACTATTTTGGAGAGTTAAAATAATTTTGTAATCTTCTTTAAGTGAAAATCTTAAGGAGCTCAATCAAAAGTCACTCAGGTCTACCATAGGTAAATAACACATAATACATAAAATGTAATTTCTGTTTGTGACTCTAACAATAACAGAAAGATTTCAAGAAAGCTCCTAATATTTAGAAACTAAACCCATTTTTTTTTTTTGGAGAGGTTTTTTGCTGTAGCCTGCATGGTGCACTCACCAGAAAGACAGAGAGAGACATTTGCTGTAGGGTGCATGGTGCACTCACCAGAAAGACAGAGAGAGACAAAGAGACAGAAAGGAGAGAAATCACCCCCAGGGGGCATGGCCACGCAGCAGTCTCTTCTCCTTTCTCCTCTCGGGATCTTGGGCATGTATGCATACGCACCTGGCATGAGTTTAAGCCACCGGGTCCAGGACTCAAACCGTGGTCAACTATATGGGAGTCCAGTGACATAGCCAGTATGCTAACTGCTGGTCCCAAAACTAAACACATTTCTAAACAATCAATACATCAAAGAAGAATTCTTTAAAATTTAAATTATTCAAAATGAATATTTTTAAAATATGCTAATAATTGACTATTACAGTTCAACATACAAAATGAATATAAATAAGTCAGTTTTCTTAAGAATTACTTATTTAACAGGACCAACAGTTAATGTAATGGCTATGTCGCTGGACTCCCACGTAGTCAACCGTGGTTCAAGTCCTGGACCCAGTGGCTTAAACTCACGCTGGGCACGAGTGCGTGCGTGCCCAAGATCCCGAGAGGAGAATGGAAGAGAAGGGATTGCGGTGTGGTCATCCCCCGGGGGGCGGTGATTTTTCACTTTCTGTCTCTCTGTCTCTCTCTGTCTGTCTGGCAAGCACACGCACCCTATAGCAAAAACCTCTCCAAAAAAAATTACATATTAAATTTTATTAATTATTATTATTACTATTTTAAAATTTTCTGTACAGCATATTCATTCACCAGAAAGAGAGAGAGGAAAAATGAGAAAGTAAGTCACTAGGTCCAGGACTGAAACCGCAGTCAGTGATGTGGGTGTCTAGTACCTTAACCACCATGCCATCTGCTGTCCCCAATCAGTTGTTTTTTAATATTAACATGTCAAATTGTAAAATGAATATTATAATAGCATAAAATGCCTAGTAGTAACTATATCAAAAGATATGTAAGGACTGTAAGAAATATTTAGAAAACCTAAGCAAATGGGGAGACAAATCTGGTTATTGAGTTGAACGGCTTCAGTATTGTCAAGAGGTCACTGTGCCCAAATTGATGTATAGAGTGAGCACAAGTCCAATCAAAATCTCCAAAAGATTTTTGGGAAAAAATTGATAGGCTAATTCTAAATTTGATATGGAAATTCCATGTGCTTATGATAGTCAAACCAAATTAAATAAAAAAATAAACTTGGGGGACCAGCAGATGACATAATGGTTACATTGTTGGATTCCCATGTAATTGACCACAGTTCGAGTCCCTGAACTTGCAGCTTAAAACTCACGCTGGGCACATGTGCGTGTGTGCCCAAAATCCCTGGAGAAGGGATTGCTGCATGTTCACCCCCCTAGGGTGTGATTTATTGCTTTCTGTCTCTGATCCACTGCAGTAGTCTCCACTAAAGTTAAAAAGGATTCCATGAATAGTAATTGAAATCAAAAAAAAAAAAAAAAAAAGAGAAAGGAACATGAGGCACCCTTTTGCTCTAGAAAGATGGATAATTTTAGAGACATTACTTATAGGAACAAAAAGAACAAGTTGGAGAACTCTACTGAAAAAAGTAGCAAAGAGTTAAATAATGAAAAATAATAATTACAGTAAGTTGGAATAAGCTGAGCCTGCCATATGAGCAGTCAGTCTTAGGTAATACAAAAGGGTACATGGGACAAACAGCATGAAAACACATACTTGCATAATTCAATTTCTAGTATTTTTACAAAATGTTTGTATGTATCAATACGAATCAAACTATATAAACTTCCACTTACACCTAGTTTGTCAACAATAATATATGTAGTGCTGTTATTCAGAAATTTATATCAATATTTGTTGACATGGAAAAATGTAATTGGTATTTTAGTAAATGAAAAAGCAATCTACAAAATAAACTATAAGGTATAATAATATATATTGCCATTTATCAAAATAAACACTCATAGAAACATTATAAGTGTGTGCACATGTGAATGTGTAGCAAAAGACTAATGAATCTTAGTGGAATTACACATATTTTCTTTTTTTAAGATGATTTATAGCCTAAATCATAAAATGTTATAAATTATCAATGTTAAAAACAGTCTAATAAAAAATGGTGGGGGAAATTGAGAACTTTTACCAGTAATTTCTGGTTCTAAAAAATAAATAAATAAAAATAAGCAGCTATTCAACTTTTTATATGGATTATAAGTACAGTTTATATTGTAAAGATAAATTCAGAAGTCGTTATTAGGTTATCAGAAAAGTCACCATGTATTTTTTTTTCTGCCTTTTGGTGCAAAAATGCCTCTTGACTTCTTCTCCAACAACCTAATATATCAAATTATAGGGCAATATTTTATATATTATATTCAAAATTTAATATAGTTAAAAATGTGAAAAATTGTACATAACTTTCAGTTTTGTATAATGTGTACCATTTGAGGTAACTGATTCATGGTCAATTTACAAAGTGATTTTCAATTTGAAAAATTAAAACTAACCAAAACTTCTTTTCAAAAAACCAGTGTTAGAGAAGCTCACCCTACCTTCCTGTCACTCTCTTCTCTGTTTCTACGTCGTTGCTCTTCTATCCTCTGTTCTCTTTTAACATCTTCTCCAATCTTTGTTAGAAGTAACATTTCTTTTGTCTTCCATTCCTAGAGAGCATAATGTTATTGTGCTTGGTGTATGTTTCCTTAATAATAATACCTTTGCATGAGATTTTTATCCCTCCAATATGCAAACCAGACAAAGCAAAGACCTAACAGTAATGAGGTCAAGAATAATAAAAGTCAGACACTACTTTTCTTACGACCCTCCTACAGGAATATAGGCATGATTATTTTTTATTAAAGCTAAAAATAATCCTCTTTATATTGAAGAATATAAAGGGACTAAATACACATAAAATACTTTTCTCAAACTGCCCTTGAAGAGCAGAATTGGTTCCTATATGGTTGGTATCTGCTTCATTATTTTATACAGCAATTTATATATCATAGTTACAAAAAATATGGGGAAATGATTTTTAACAGTATGATGTAGTTAAAATAATTAACAGATGAAACTGTCTACAGGTTTCCTCTCCATATTTTAAATTTGTTTTCCCTCACCTCTTCGATTTTTCTACGAAGACTAAGCTTTCTTCTTGTGTGTTCCCTCTGTTGTCTTTCTTCTCTATCCATTCGGAGTAGGCGTTGCTCTTCTGCTTTGCGCTCAAGTTGTTCTAATTCCCTATTTATCATATCCAAATATCTGAGTAAGAATGAAAACATTCCATGAAGTGAGTCAAGTGTTTCATTTATGAGGTGGTATGTACTTTGATATTCCCAAACCATCACCTAATTCGCTATTTATTACTCAGACTATAGGAATTTCACAATTATTCTGTCTGTCTAGTTCATGGTCCTTTAAGCCAACCTGATCTACCAACTCACCATGTTTTTTGTATGTTATGCAGTATCCCTACTTTACAGTGGTGCTTTTCTCAATAAGTGCTCATAACGGTAGTATTAAGTACATGAATTTCCAAAGTTTGAAATAAAGGAAGCAGTGACTTCAAATGTGGGAAGAAGAAACAGTACATTGGAAAAAAAGGAAAGAAACAGTCTAAAAAGTAGATAATGGATTCCTTATATAATTTACATGTCCTTGAACAAATCTCTTGTCCGTAGCCTGTATCCCTGGTAATCAAGTATTATGGTTATTACCATGAAATGAAACCATACACTGTAAAGTAATGCAGCCCAATCCCTCACCAACAGACAAGGAAACAGAAGTGTGATATTTCTTTACTCTCTAAAAAAGCGAGCTTTAGCATGGAATGTAATGTATGACTGTGACTGGGGAATATCTAAAGGAGCTTAGGTGACTTCGAGAGACAAAAGATTTTTATATTGACATCAGATTAAATTATGCATAAGCTTTTTTAAACCTTTCACTAACTTTTTCAAACTTAATGCTGTCATTCCTTAAGGATAAATCATACAAAGCTGTTAGTATTTGAGGCATGTGCTAAAGACACTTTCCTTCTCGTCACTACTCTAGAAAGGAACTGGGGTGGCCAGACAGTGGTACAGTGGTACACATGGAACTCTGCAAACCTAACCCACGTGGGAAGGCTCCATGTTCACATCTGGACACCTGACTATGCCAGGCACACGTGCCCATAATGTGGAGCTTGCCACAGTAGGTGGTGAATCACTGCATCAGGATCCCACTGTGGGGGGCTGTCTCTATGTCTGACTTTTTTGATAGTGAAAAAAAAAATAGATAAAAAGAAAGGATTTCGTATCTGATTTTTTTCTTTGGTCATCATTTTGGCTTTACCTCTTGGTCTCCCAGTTACCCTAACTTCTCTGGTATAAATTCCCCTTCAGAATCTTGTCATCAGTGTTTCCGATTTCCGTTCCTGTTGGTTCCCTTCCTCTCAACACAAATAAATTAGTGGCTAGTATTGTTTCTTTTTAAAACATACTTTTGATTCTTTATAATATTTTTTTTCTAACTTATTTGAGTCTCCAACATACACATAAACCGTGCATTCATTTCAATCTTACCTATGTCTTATTAACCGCTCCTGGTCCTTAATAGACTGGGTACCCTCCTGTAACAACCAGTTTTGGAACTGCATGATATCAAGGTGTTCGGAGATTTGATTGTGTTCCTGTAGTTTATGTAGTTGTTTTGCAAGCATTTCCTAATAAAAAAAAAATGTATTGTGCACATATAATAATAGTTTTTATACATTTCCCCAAAATAAAACCATTAATATTGTTATATTGCATAGTTATTTCTGTTTAACTGTATTTAAGTCTTTGACTCTATTAGCAACATGGACAGTTGAACCAAAATAAAAAATAAACATTTCATTTTATTTGCTTATTTATTCTGAAAAAATTAAGTGAAAAGATGGAATAAGAAGAAAAAGTCCTAGCACAGAAAGAGGAAAAATATAGATGGCTCAATGTATAGGAAAATCTTATTTTTATCCAACTCACTTAACCTTAAAATAAATTTGTAAACACACACATACACATCTTTCTCATTTCATCTAACTCGCTTGACTCTAAAATGTGAATTCACTTATACATGCACACATACTCACACACCCAATCTATAACTACTCACTCTGTATCCAAATATTCCATTTCACCTGTAAGAGCAGTTTTTGGATGAATGTTGTTTTGGATGATTACAGGTGCATGTGTATGGGTACACACACACACACACACACACACACACACACATACACAGACACACACACACATTCACTGTAAATATTCTTTATGTCACCTGTCAGACACAACAGCTAAAATACTGCTTATGTTCTATTGTTAAAGCTACTCTGAGTTCCAGTTTAGGAGTCTTGTCCCAGTAGATGCTCTTATTTCTTTCTTCGTTTGTTTGTTTATTTTTATTTGCTACAGGGCACATGCATTCACCAGAGACAGACAGATAGAAAGAGAGGAAAGGCGAGACAGCATCTCTCCAAAGAGGAAGACCACACTACAATCCCTTCTTTTTCATTCTTCTCTTGGGGATATGGGCATGCACACAGTCATGTTTATTGTGTTTTTCAAGTAACCAAGTCTGGGACTCCAACCAGGCAGTTGACCATGTAAGATTCTAGCCACCTTAACCACCCTGCCACCAGCTGTCCCCCAAAAATACTCTTATTGACCCCAGTTTAGTTAGAAGTAACAGATTAATCACTGCCAGCTACCTTTGGTGAATTGATATATGACCTAGTCTCTTTTCCATTCTTGACTGCATATAGAAATCACCAAGTATAATTTATTCCTACTTGAAATTTTCATTTGAAAAATATTTACTTTGTTAATTATTAAAGGTCAAAATATTGTAAGAAAGTAACTCCACATACAAACAAAATTTTCTTCCAAACCTTACATAATGAAGCAAATTTAAGTATTTAACTCACTTGTTCTCTTACATAGTTTCTTTGAAAGTCTAATTTTAAACTGGTAAGATATTGCCTGTACTTATTCAATTCCCTCAAGGTACATACAATCTAAAAACAAAAACAAAAATACATGAATACAAATATTTAAAAATTAATAGCAATCATCAAAGGAAAAACAGTAATGACATTTTAATATCAAGAAGAAAAAAGATTGGTAACAATTTTGTAAGTAGTATTTCTCTATACCATAAAAAGGAAATTTCTATCTAAAATATTAATTTATCAATATAATCTATACTGGGTCAGCAGATGGCATGATGGTTAAAGCACTGAACTCTCACATGGCTGACCATGGTTTGAGTCCTGGACCTGGTGGCTTGGGGATCACACTGGGTGCATGAGCATGTGTGCCCCAAACCCAAGGGGATGATGGAAGAGAAGGAGTTGTGTTATGGCCATACACCTGGGGAGGATGATTTCTCCCTTTCCTTCTCATTATCTCTCTATCCAACTCTCTCCAACAAGCACACGAGCCCTATTGCAAAACCTTAGAAAAAGTATATATACACATATACCTACCTACACATACACAAACACACATACATATATACATACACTCACACACACACATATATACATATACTCACACACACATCTATCTATCTATCTAGCACACATAATTTATTGGAGTTATTAAAATGATAACTATAATTATTAATTACATTAATTGTAATTAATTGTATTTATAAGTATGAATGTACTTACTCTTCAATCCCAATAAAAATATATTTTATCAGATTCTATTAGAGACAAATTTCATCTCAAGTTTTTAAAAAGCACATAGAAGGGCTGGAATGTGGCATGGAGGTAAAGGGCACTGAACTCCCACATGGCTGACCGAGGTTCAAGTTCCAGAACTGGTGGCTTGCTTTTTCACCTTTCTTCCCTCTCTCTCTTTCACCCTGTCCCTCTTGGTCAAAGTAAAATAAATAAATAAATAAATAAATAAATAAATAAATAAATAAAGTAAATTAAATAATTCTTTTTTAAAAAGACCATATAGAACATAGTTTTTGATTAATGTACAGTGCCATTAAAGCCAGAGAGTGAGAAAAATGCTACAGTGGGGAAGATTAGTGTATTTTTATATCCTTAAAATATTCATCAATCATATTTTGCTATTCCGAAGGAAAAAAGTGAAGGTATAATTTCTATATAGAAACTATTGTCTGATTTTCTTTGGTTCTAATACTGAGTAATTCATAAGCTGCTTACTAAGTATCCATTCATGATCAAAATAAAGACAATAAAGGCCCTCTAGTGAAGTGTAGAAGCAATCTTATATCAAGTTTTGAATGTTTTTATTGATTAAAAAAGTAATTTTCAACCCACTTTATTATTGCTGGTAATGTAGCCACCTTTCTTTAATCTCCTCAGAACATCTTTGCGCTTATAGTATGCTCTTAAATGTGGATCATGGAGACTTTTATATTGGTTTTCCAAAAGTCGACAATAAGGATCAGTCAGGTTAAAGCCATAAGAAGGTCGAAAAAGCTGCAAACACAGATTAAAGAATATTATATATAAAATACATTTGACATTGAAGTAAACTATTGAAAAAAAAAAACACAGTATTTACTGAAAATAAAAACTGCAAGAATCCAAAATGGGAGAAAGCTATCAAGAGAAAGATTTGAGTTCGAGAAGCTGAATTGTCTCTCTCTACTTTCTCGACCTAAGTGAATTATTTTAAAATCCCACTGTCTCTCAAATAATTTTTCCTTAGATTCCTCCACATCTTAGTTATGGATCTGAAAAGAATGGAGAACAAGGAAAGGAGGAATATATCATTTGTTTTACATTAAGTGTCAGTGCTAGAATTCTTCCCTTTCCTCCTCTTCTTCCAAATTAAGATACTATATTTAAAAGATAAAGGAATAATACTAATTATATTGTTATATCACAAGTGCCACCTGAAAATGAAAAAAATAATACAAAGTCTTTCACTATGAGTCATAATTTTTTTAGTTTTAGATTTGCTATAAGGTAAGTGTGTTCACCGGAGAGACACAGAGAAAGAGAGAGAGAAAGTGGTGAGAATCTACCCACATCGATTATGCTTTAGTTCCTTCTCCTCCAATCATCTCTCCAGATTTCGGGCATGCAGGTTATGTGTACATGCCCAGTGGGTTTTTTCAATCAGCAGTGAACTATACAGTCACTCCATGTAGGATCCTGCTGCCTTAACTACCACGTCAACTTGCTGGCCCATATAAACACAACTTTAACAAATAGCAGAAATAAAGTGTATGTTAAAAAGTCATTGTATGTTGAGGTATCTAATGGAAGAAATCCAATAATCTCTGGTTGCTACAATCAGAAGAAGTCAAATCTCTATTACACAGTCCAGTACACTAAAGGACCCATTTTAAAGGATATTTGTAGGAAGTTAGATTTTTCGTTATGTTTAAAGAATAAACACAACCTTTCATAATATTCTTTACATGTAAAAGGAGAAAAAGACAGTCAACATGTTTCTATACATGTTACTTTAAGCAGACAAGTTACTGCATCCTATTTATAAATTAAAAAATTACCCAATTAAGTTTTTCTATGTGAGTTGTTAGTGAATTTTTCAATTTCAGGATGGTGATAATAGCTTATAGGATTATCTCTGAAGAAGAAAATGTAGAGGATGAATGTAGGTGAGTAAATTGTGTTGATGTTGTCCTTGTGTTCTGTCTTTGGCCATAACAGCATACATTTTAGTCCAAAGTAATATCAAGTCAACAACTGGCTCAGATGAAAGACATTTGGAATATAGGCAAGATGTGGCAAACCAGAAAGCACCTACTCAGTTCACAGCATTCTCCATTCAATTGCTATCATGCCACATTGTGTATCATTCCAGATCTCCCTAGGGTTACCAATTTGTTACTTCTGTGTTTAGTCTGGCTACAGTTAAAACTGTAGTCCAATTCTTCAACACTAAGAAGACTGACTGGAAGGGATCCTGAACAGAACTCTGATTAGAGAGGTCGAATGATGTCTTATATGCAGACAAAGGGGTAAATGGGAGGAACTAGATACTATTGATAGCTTGCATTTAAAAGCTTTTGTGTTCTTTCTGGTCTTTTAACAGTAAGTTTTATTCCCTTTCAAGGGACATAATCAGAAAGCCAGATTTCCTGAAAAGGCAAAGAAAGGAATTATATATAGGGCAATGTCTCAAATTCAGTGAGACCAGATATGAAGCCCGTATCTTTCCTGGAAGGGAAGCAATCCGCAATAAATCAAAGAGCAGACTATCTCTTAAAACTTAGCATTTAGTTTCCAGCTTCCCTTAGCTGTCGAGACTTAGCTGTGACAGGCATATGTTTCTCACAACCAAACCTGAATGACTGACCTGTGAATAGAAAACATCTTTTAATAAATATATTCATTAGGTCCTGGATACCCTTCTGTGTCAGTTACAATAATTGATTCCAGTTAATATATATAAGTCATTACTTCATCCAGGAGATCTTACTAAAGAAGAAAGAAGGTCACAAAGGCAGTGTCAGAGAACTAGTTTGGCACCTAATTATGATTAAATGAATACATTCTGAGAAAGTTAATGTAATTTAAAAAAAAGAACATCTTTTTAAAAAGTAGTAGGCAGTGAATTAATAATCAACCAAGAAAGCAGTAATACATTAGACAGACTACATCTGAGAAAGCAAAGACAGAGCTAAGTTTACATGCTGAAGAGGAGTTTTATCACAAGTAATGGAATAGATTTTAAATACATTTTTGCAAAGCTAGGCTGTGGATGTGAACCCGACTGTGTAAGGTTGACAAAGTTTTTAATTAGCTTGCATGAGTCTAGTAGAACAGATTATCTTTCAAAAAATATTTTTTTTCACAAACCAAACTTTAGGAAATCATGTTTATTGCTATTACAGATTGTGTTCCCCCTAAATCATATGTTGAAATCCTAATCTCCAATGTGACCACATCAGGAGGTATGACTCTGGGAATTAATTCAGTTATGAAACTGAGTCCTTATAAAAGATCTCTTATACAAGAGACCAAAAAGAGCTAACACTCCTGGAAGTGCTTATAAAGGGTCCTTATCCACATCCAACCATGCAGACACCCTGAACTCAAAATTTCAGCCTCAGTGAGTATGGAAAATAACTTTCTTTTGTTCTTAAGCCATCCAGTCTAGACGGTTTGCTACAGAAGCCCCAGTTACTCAGTTATTAGGCAAACATCCAATACCAAGGCATAAGACACTACTGATGACGTCATAGACAGTGGAAGTATGAGATCCCTTACAATTCTTTCTTGTAGGCCTTTTTAAAATACTGATCCAAGTAATCACTCAACAAGATCGCCTTAAGATTTCAGCATTAGTTACTTAGAGGCTGGGGGGGGTTTGGGGTAGAGACAGCATTGCAGACTGAAAACATGAAAAGGTTTAGGGCAGTACATACACTATCCAGCATGATTAAGTGTTGCATGAGATCATACAAATCACAGCAATTAGAGCTCTAAGCAAAGATACGCTCACTGGGAGCTATAATAGTTCAGAAAATTTATTTAGGGATGGCTCAAATTCACAGATTTGGAAGAAATAAAGGATATGCCAGATTTGGAGGAAGGGTGGGCAGAAGCATGACTATATTAGGATTATACGCATGGGTAGGTGTAAAAGATGTCAGCCTGAAGAAACTGATACTCTGGTTTGGAGAAAAGATGGATGAAGATGCTGGGGGAAATCAGTCTTCATTAAGGCATAGTCTTCTTCCATTAAAGTGAGATTAAAGCACTAGACTTATTAACTCATTTTAACTCCAATTTTTTTGTTTTTGCACTTTGTGTGTAAAGTTGAATTTAATTAAAAATAAAATTTTAGAAAATTGTTTTATCAGGGCAGGCAGGTGGCATGGTGGTTAAGGCACTGGACTACCACATGGCCAAGTCTGATTCAAGTCCGGGACCTGACAGCTTGTTTTCTCACTTGCCTTCTTCTCTCTCTGTCTCTCTCTCTCTCTGGTCAAATTTTAAAAATAACGATCACAAATGGAATTAAAGAATTCTTTATAAAAAGGTATTTTTTAATAAAAGTTTAGTTCAACTTGCTATTGCTTAAAATCATAACACGTGATTAAATGCCAGCCTCCACTAAATAAATACCTTTTGCCTTTCAGTGAAGCATGTTCCTAAGTAAATCTAAACTTGCTAAATATATAACTATATATAAAAAGCTGTTTTTTTCATAAAAATAGTTAATATGCATCTGTCAATTATAAATTAAACAAGAACAACAGTCTAAATATTCTGGCCCATGATTGTGTCCAAACCATATTCGATGAAATTACTTTACATGCGATCTAAATGACTCAGTTAAATGTAGGTTTGATTTTTTTTCTTCCTAGGAATGTTAGTGTAAATCCCCTTAGTGATTTCGTATGATGCAGTCTCTGAATTTAACAGCATGAAGAAATGAAGAGCGATAACTGGTTTACCTTCTCACTTAAATTTGTAGTAAAGTATACAGTATCACTTCCTGGAATCATAGGCAGCTTGACTCCAAGAGGCAGATCTAGTAGTTGAGCCGCTCCGACCCCTGGAAAGTGGGTTTTGTGTATGCCCTGTCAGACACAATGGAGAGTTTGGTGTTTTCCTTTTAGATAGTCCTCATTTAGTCTAGGTTTACTGCTCATACCCCAACCAGGGACACCATACAATCAGAGTCGAAGGGCACCCCCTGCCAGACAACTTTGGAGCCTTACTGGCTCCCAAGTCTTCTGGGCCTCACTGCAGCCAACTGTGGCCAGCTCAAACCAAGCCACTGCCACCGGGGCCCCCCACCAGGAAGGCGTAGGTTTGATTTTTTTCTTCCTAGGAATGTTAGTGTAAATCCCCTTAGTGATTTCGTATGATGCAGTCTCTGAATTTAACAGCATGAAGAAATGAAGAGCGATAACTGGTTTACCTTCTCACTTAAATTTGTAGTAAAGTATACAGTATCACTTCCTGGAATCATAGGCAGCTTGACTCCAAGAGGCAGATCTAGTAGTTGAGCCGCTCCGACCCCTGGAAAGTGGGTTTTGTGTATGCCCTGTCAGACACAATGGAGAGTTTGGTGTTTTCCTTTTAGATAGTCCTCATTTAGTCTAGGTTTACTGCTCATACCCCAACCAGGGACACCATACAATCAGAGTCGAAGGGCACCCCCTGCCAGACAACTTTGGAGCCTTACTGGCTCCCAAGTCTTCTGGGCCTCACTGCAGCCAACTGTGGCCAGCTCAAGCCAAGACACTGCCACCGGTGCACCGCACGAGGATGCCAGCGCCAGAGCGGCGGTTAACAACCGCGCGACCAGTGTGTGGCGATCCCTGTCCCAACCCTCACAAGGCCTGCGGCCGACAGAGAGCAACGACGCCAGGTTTGTGGCCACTCACATCTCCGCACTGCTGGCTGTTCGCCGCCAGGCTGCTGGTGGCAGTCTTGGTGGCGGCAATGTTGGCAGCCTTGGAGCAGGAGCTAAGGTACAATTCCATGGCAGGCCGGGCCCCTCTGCCTGCCGGCGGCCCTCCCCTCTTGCCTTCTTTGCACCTTTTCCCAGTGGTCCCTCTGTCCCAACTGGACCGGGAATGACCAGTGCCGTGTGTCCGTGAGGCCCCTTCCCCGCGCGTTCCAGGTTCCAAACCGCGAGGGTCCCAGAATGCGGTGCCCTCCAGAGAGGTGGATACTTGCTTTGAGGGCTTCAACTCCTGCAGGGTTAAACAAAGCAAAGTGAAACGACAACACAAACAATCCTACAGACCTGATCTAAGAGAATGACTTTCAATATTTTATGTCCCCCTGAAAGTAGCTCCCCTTGGCCAATACACACCAACCAGTAAATCTTCCTTGGTGGGTAGCTGGCTAATTTCCCCTATAGTTTCATTCATGAGTGATTGTGTGACCATTCTAGGGTCAGAGGCTTGATATTTCACAGTCCCCCCAAAAGATACCATGACCACACCCATTCCCAGGCTCCCACAGTTTTTTTCCCACTCCAGGTCCCACATAGCTGACACTGGTTTCCTTACCTTCTCGCTACCTTCCTCTGCCTCTACCCTAGTTTTCCTCTTTCATGCCTAGCCCTCCTCATCTCTTTCCCATTCCCTCCTCTTTGCCTACTTTGCCTTATCTAGCAGTGCCCTTCTTTCTCTTCATTTAACCTATTCAGTCAACATTCATGAGGTGCCTCACTCTTGGACTAAGCACTGGAAATACAGGAATCAGTAAACTACGGGGCTTCCCTTTAAGGAGGTAGCTATTAATGTTAGTGGATTCTTTCTGAGCAGAAACTATCTGATATTTCAAGAGTCTGAACTTAGTTTTGTAGATGTTTATTTTTTTCCCCACTTCTATTCTCTGTTGCTTCTGGGCCATGCATGAAGTAATAATACCTAGTATTTATGGAGAATTTGCTAACTCCAGCTGCTGAGCTAAACACCCTTTAAAAATTTAATCTCCATAACAGCCTCGTCAATAATTACCCCATTTTTCAAGGCTAAAGGAAGAATGATAATCACTTATTAAATGGTGGCCTCAGAGGCTGTTTTCATAGCACATTCTACCCTTGCATTGGTTTCTTTATTTCAATTCCACTCATGTGTTTATAGAAGTCTTAAATTTGAAATCTAAACTTAGGATTATAGCCTATTGTCAGCTCTTCTCAGGGATGTCCTATAATCATCTCAGATTCAATATACTCGAATCTCAACACCTACACACATATCTCCTTCACTAACACAGGACCAACAAAGGCCTCATTCTTCTTGCTTTCGCATCTCTGTGACAATACCAGTGTCTACTCAAGCCAAAAATTGAGGAATGCATCTGGAGACCTCCTACTTCCCCTTATCCACACACATTCAATTGATTTCTATGTCCTGCTGATTTTATCACTGAAATGAATTGGTCCCCCTCTCTAATCCTATAATTTTATAAATCTCTCAATTAATCCACTCATTATTTTCTTTATTTGTGCCTTACTGTCATGTATCCCAACAATCAATCTTTTACCAAATTGATCTTTGACGGTAAACTGTTTCTCTCTTTTGAGTTAAACTCCCAGTTGTCTTCACAAAGACTTAACACAAAGCATGTCATAGCCTCTGTAGCTTCACTTCAGTGTTTGTTATTGCTGTTTTAACAAATTATGACAAACAGTGCCTTAAAAGTTCACAAACAGTTTGTTTTTATGGTAACAGAGGCCAAAAATTCAAAATGAATCGCACTGAGTTGAAACTGCTACATAGGAAGGGCTGAATTTTTCCAGGGTATTCTAGACACAATCTATGTCCTTTCCCTTTCCAGAGGTGACAAGTCACCCATCCTTGCTACCGCTAATCCAACAGTGTCACAGCTCCAGGTCTCTCTCTAACTCAGATCTTGGCCTCCCTCTTCCACAACTAAAGTTTTTGTTACTACAATGAGCCCATTAGATGATCCAGGATAACTTATTTAATTTAAGGTTAGCTATGAGCTAACTTATTTTTAAGACTTGTTAGGCAGGGCCAGGATAACCCTAAGTCCAGGATTAATAATTGCTCCATTCTGATGTAAAACTCTCCTCTGAACTCTACCTAATATTCCATCAATCAGCAGATTTTACGAGTATGGCTGGGTGGGAAAGGCGCTGGGATCAGCTTTTTGAAAACCCAGCCCTATCTTCTTTTGAGTAGTTCTTTTCATGGCATTGGGTAGTTTTCTCACACAGTTTGATAACAATTGGAGATACTCAAGGATGACTCTTTGTACGCATTGGGAATTCTTGTTCCATGCAGCTTTCCTTACCCTATTCTTCTGTTTCACATACTCTGGCCTCATTTATCTTGCTTAATTAAATTATTTTGCCTAAAATGGCCAATGCACTCTCACACTTGAATTTCTATGGATAAGCTGTAATCACATGTTAGACAGTTTTTCTGAGCTGGTTGCTAGGTTACAACAGCTAGGCTCTTGTCAATCACAGGCATCCCAACTTTTAAACTTTGCTAATGCAGACAAACTTAAGAATGAAACTAATCCAAATTGTTTTCCCACCTCATTCCTTCACTTTCATTTTCGTACCTCATGTTCCCATTCCTGTACATTCCTTTCCTTTTCCAGAACTTAAGTGCTATGTGGCCACGAGGCTAGCTGGAGTGGCTTGGAACTTGGTCTTCAAACTCTTCAATTTTAATTCCTCAATTTGTTCAATTAAAGATTTAAGATTTGCTCAATTAAAACACCACTCTATTAAGTTGGCTGATGTTTTTATTTTTTTATTTTATTATTTTATTTTATTTTATTTCTGTTAATGATCTCCCTGGACTCTGGGCTCAATCCTCTAACTTCAGGGAGTCAGATGGGCTCCATCTTTATTACCACTTCCTGTGTCATGATTTGGAAACACTCTGAAGTTGGTAAGCTAGGGCAATGGCATGCCTCACTTCCTTTAGTCCTCTTTCTTTTTTGTTGTTGTTGTTGTTTTGAGAGGGTTTTTTTGGCTATAGGGCACATGCGCTTGCCAGACAGAGAGACGGAGAGACAGAAAGTGAGAAATCACCTCCCCCCCCCACCCCCACCCCCCGAGGGGATGGCCACACCGCAATCCCTTCTCCTCCATTCTCCTCTTAGGATCTTGGGCACGCACGCACGCACATGCGCCCGGACTGAGTTTTAAGTCACCGGGTCCAGGACGCGAACCGCGGTCGACTACATGGGAGTCCAGTGACATAGCCATTAAGCTAACTGCTGGTCCCAGTCCTCATTTTTCACACATCACTGTCCTTTATTACCTGAGATCTGATGTCTTTAAATCTGCTGCCTGGTGCCTCATACATTTAAGTCTCTTTATAGATGTTTCAGGTAAGTCTCAGGAGAGTAAATAATATCTATATTATTCTATCTCAAGAGGTAATAAACTCAACTTCTATTATGATAATCAGAATGGAGCTTTTAATTCTTTGGCTAATAGTCACATTTCTTATTTGGGGAAAGCCTTGCATATATAAATCTTAGTAGTCATTCAACCCCAATTTCAAGTAGAACTAAAGATAGAGCACATATTTCCATTTTATATGCTCTGGCAACAAGGAACATGTGACTATATATTGTTAAAGGAAAATGACTCAAAGAATCTTGTATAGGATAGAACCAGGAAGTCAGGGTAGTGGTTAATTTCTAGTCACAGCCTAAGTACAAAAATTTTGTTTGTTTGTTTGTTTGATATAAGGCACATGCCCTCATTGGAGAGGGAGTCAGAGGAAGAGGGGGAATGGCCATGCCACAATTTCTTCTCCTCCATTCTACTTGCTGGATTTTGGACAACTGTGCACATGCACCCAGCATGTTTTTCAAGCTGCCAGGTCTAGTCTAGAACTCAAACTACACATTGGCCATGTGGGACTCAGCCTTAACCATCACACCACCTGGCTGGTCTTAGTAGCAACATTTTTAGTCCAATCACATTTGCAGCTTGCTCTTGTACAAGTTAGTCATCCCTAATAGAATAATAAAAAATCCTTGAGATAGACCTGTGAAAATCCCGAGTGCCACCCTCCCATCATCATCATCTCATCTCACCAGGAAGCAGCCAGAACTGTTTTTGCCCTATTTCCCTAATGGCAGTTAGGGGTACTTCTTCAGAGGGAGAATTGAGACAAGAGTTGGATCTCATTTACAGGTAGATGATATCCCCACCCCCAGAGGAGAAATACTGTTGTGTGACTCTTGATAATTCCTCTTCTTCCAGTCACCATAGTCCTTTGACCTTAGACTTGTAATTCTTCCTTTTGAACAATGAATGGTTCAAAGCTTCTAGACAAAGAATCTCCTGACTTTTCTTGTTCCCACTCCAAAATTCAGAGAATAATTGGACCCATCTAGCAAGTATCCCTCCCTACCACAAAGGAAATGCATGCACAGGCCCTACCTAGAACAAGGCTAGACACAGCTCTTCCTGACCAAAATAAAAGCCCCTTGCCACAGTTTTTCTTTGACAACCCATTTCTTGGAACCTCTCCTTTCTTGGAAGCTCTGTTTTTCTTTTCCTCTCCAATAAAATCCCTACTTTGGTATGACAAAAAAAAAAAAAAGTCCAAAATGTTCCATAAATCTGAATTTTTTGAGCACCAATGTGTATCTACAAGTACAAAATTCCATATCTGACCTTATGAGACAGGTGGAAGTCAACACTGAAATATAAAAACAGTATTAAAATTGCCTTCAAGTTATGTGTATTAAGTGTATATAAAACATAGATTAAATAGATTAAATTTGTGTTTAAATTTGATCACATCCCCAAGATATTTCAATATGCATATATGAATATTTCAAAAATAAGAAAAAATCTGAAATCCAAAATCTTCTGATCAGCATTTTGGATAAAGGATGTTCAACCAATGTTTCCTTTCCTGTTTCCTGTCTCATTTTCTTCAACTTAGACACCAAACTTTTCTGTATATGCTCTGAAATTTCTTAGATTTTCTCTATAACTTTTTTCTGCCTAAGTTAGCCAGTTTTTTAAATTATTCACAACCCTAAAACTAGCTCAAATGATAATCACCATAATGCAACTTCTTTTCAATTTTATTCATCATTTATATA